GGAGCGAAGGGGGATGGGGAGAGATTGGACAAGGGGCATGAAGAATTATTATGATTTGTAGCAATATATATGCTAATAATATTGATTTGATCAACATATCTCAATGTTGAAACCCAAAAATATGTATAATCAATTTTGATTCAATAAAAATTAAAATAAAAAATGTTCCAAACATTCCCTCCTCTTTTTTTCTTCTTCTAAGTCCTCCAAACTCCTCCAACCTTTTCCTATTACTCAGTTCCAAAGCCACTTCCACATTTTCAGGTATCTGTATAGCAACACCCCACTCCTCAGTACCAATCTTCTGTGTTAGTCGTTTTTGTGTTGCTGTGACAGAAATACCTGAGACTAGGTAATTTATACAGAAAAGAGGTTTATTTGGCTTATAATTCTGGGACAGCTGCACCTGGCATGGGCCTCAGGCTGCTTCTATTCATGGTGGAAAGTGGCAGGCAGCCAGCAGGTACAAGCAGATCACATGGCAAGAGGAAGCAAGAGAGAGAGAGAAAGTGCCAGGGTCTTTTAAACAACCAGCTCTCACAGGAACTAATAGAGTGAGAACTCACTCACTACCCCCACCCTCCAGGGAGAGCATTAATCCATTCATGAGGGATCCACCCCCATGACTCAAACAGCTTCCGACACTGCCACATTGGGGATCAGATTTCCACATGAGTTTTTGGGAGGACAACACAGCCAAACTCTATCAGTGACCGAACCCAGCTTTTGTCCTCAAGGAGCCTGCAACTGAGGGAGGGGGTGAAAGGCCCACTTGGCGTCTGGGGAACCCCGCACCTTGCACCCCACTGCCACAGCCTGAAGGAGGCTGTCTCTTTGTGCCTCCACTATCTGAGTGACCTACAAATGGCCAGGAGCCAGAGCCTGACCTCTGGAGGAAGCTGGAGGACCTGAGCATGGCCATCCCTGGATGCCCACAGCCTGATGGTTTCCCAGATGCTGCATCAGGGTGGGTGACCTACCTGAGGCCAGCAGGTGCTCGTGATGAGGCAAGTTGCTGAAAGGGCTTCCAGGCCCCTTGTGCCACCGTCTACCTGAGGCCAGCAGGTGCTCGTGATGAGGCAAGTTGCTGAAAGGGCTTCCAGGCCCCTTCTCTGCTGCGTTTGCCACTAAAATGCTCTCAAGGTGCCTGACGGGTGGCCCTTCCATGCTCCTGCAGCTCTGGGGACCACAGCAGGAGCTCAGGCAAAGGACAGCGTGAGGCTGAAGTGGGATGTGGGGCTTTCTCCACTCTTGCCGGGAAACAAGCGTAAACACTGAAGGTCCGAGCTGGGAGGCACCCTGCAGAGTGGACAGGAACCTCCCTGGCCATACCTGGCCAAGGCTGTCTTAAAGGCCACCTGATTCCACCTGGCCCTGGCTCCACAGCATCTGAACTCAACTGGGATCAAGCTGTGAGTCACCCTGTCAGGCCAGCAGACAGATAGTTATTGGCTTCCCAAGGGTGACCACCAGGCCATATAGGACATAACCACACAAAGGGATGGGAGCTTCTGTGGAGGGCAGTCCCAGTGGAGTGCCAGGAAGGGGCAGCCACACAGCAGGGAAGCCTGGCCTGAGAAGCTACAGAGCTGCCCCTCCACATGTGTGGGCTCCGGGCTTCCAGGGGTGTCTGGGGATGAAGCCAGAGGTCCCTCTGTACCCAGCACCTGTGGCCCACAGAGCTGGCCAGAACATCTCAGGGTCTGATTCTGGCAGTGGCCTCAGCTTTTCTGGGTCCTATCCCAGACCACCGGGGCCTCGCTCCCTCTGAGACTGCTGCAGTTTCTGCCCAGCTGCAGTGGGGCATGCAGGGACCCTGAGGCTCTGACAGAAGCTGCCAGGGTGGGAGGCTTCTGTAGCTGGACCAGTGCAGCAGTGGCTTCCCCACCAGGAGCTCCCTGCCCACCAGGATGCCCATCCCTGCACCAAGGTCATGCAGTTAGGAAAGGGTCCTTCCTCAGAGATGAAATGCGCCCCTGCAATTCCCCCATGGTCCACTTCTTTTAGTGGGAACGACCCAAGGGGGAGTTGGGGTGTGACATGCGAAGTCAAGTGACAGATGAGGGGTGCCTTGTAATCACTTTTAATCTGGTGTCTGCATTAGCTACAGGGAATAAAAGAAGAAAACAGCCAAGACAACTTTACTAAAATATGGCAGTGACTTCACTGTCATTGTCAATATTCTCCCCTCCTCCATTTTTTATTTAAAAAATAAACTATTTTAGAACCATTTTAGATTGACAGAAAAGTTAAGAAGCTAGCACAGGGTCCTCACAAGCCCCACACCATTCTCCATTATAACATCTTGCATTAGTGTGATACATTTGTGCCTCGGACTGACGTTACCCCCAAACTTAACCCCCCTGTGACTGTTGAGGGTGGGAAATCCTATTATGGTCATTGAAAGGTGGAGCCTTGAAGAAGTGATTGGATTGTAGGACCGTGCAGTAGTGAATGGATTAAAAATGGTGGTCAGGGGCGTGGTTCTGAGGGCTTTAAAAGAAGAGGAAAGTCTGTCTCTGCTCTCTCTGCTTCCACCATCTTGCAACGTGAGACCCCTGGGTCACTGTCACCACCACCAGATGGACTTTGGACTTCCCAGCCTCAGAAACTGTACGCAATAAATTTTATTTTCTTTATAAATCACCCAGTTCTGTGTATTCTGTTACAAGCAACACAAATGGACTAATACACCCCTCAACTGGGGTTTGCTGTTTTTTCTCATGATTAGACTGGGGTTGGGGGCTGCTGGGAGAGACCACAGAGGTGACATGACCTGTCGTCTCATCCTATCAAGGGCACACACTATACAACACAACCTGTCACAACACCATCCTTGGACACCTACTGAAATGGTCTGCCGGGTTTCTCCTGCACTCTGTTGGGGGAAGTCGCTAGGCCCAGCTCACACTCCAGTGGGGAGTTCTGCTCCCCAAGGGTCTTCCCCAACTTTGGGTCATCACTATCCCTGTCCTGTGGCTGCAGCCCCCACTCAAGTGGTCTTCCGCCTCCTGCTCTGACTCCCCCAATCTCGCCCCAGTGAGTGCCTCTCCCCACGCCCTCCCACCACCTGGCCTCCCTTTGCCCATCCCCCCTCCTGGCTCCCTTGTTGCCCCACCCCAACCTCTCTCCCAACACTACCCTACCCTCCGCCCCTTGCTGAGCTCTCCAACCCCCCACCTAACCCTCCTCACGTCGCCCCCCAGTGCCTCTCCTGCCTGCTTCTCCTCCACCCCCCTCCGGCCTCCCTCTAGTGCGTAATAACTTCGTATAGCATACATTATACGAAGTTAT